ATGCAATATTCATGTTCTAGGATATTGGTATGGTATAGAGCTGGAAAAACCCCATGGCAAGAATGATGGTTCAGTTGGAGGTGTGCAGTATTTTAGTTGTTCTCCAAGATATGGAATATTTGCTCCCCCATCTAGGGTGCAAAGGTGAGAAAAATGTAATTTATGTTTATTCACAGGAACTTTTTAAAATTTGCAGTGGTTTATAGAGACCCTAATTTTATATTAAAGACATGCACTGACTGTAGCTCATGTCCTCTTTCAAGGGGTTAACCAACCACCTTCTTCAGAGAGAAGACTCATGGGAAGCTAAATTTGCTTTGCTGAGGATTTGCAATTTTAAAATCCTCCTTTATTCCTCATTTGCAAACCCTATGAGTATGTGTAGGCTATTAGAAATGGCATTTGCAGCTAAGAACACTGGGAGCAGCAAGCTTAATCTGTCATGCAAACAAAAGTAAAAATGCTCTCTGATTGCTTCAGCCACATCCTAACTACATTAAACTTCCTGCCAGCAGGCACCCCATTCATTCTCCTACAAACCTAATGGAACAAAAATGGCTTTTTCCTCTGATTTCTTTACTTTTCAAAAATAGATAGGCAGTAGAACTTTGGGGGAAGTGAAGCTTCATGGATTTTTATGTAATATACCTCCTCTGTCTTTCTTCTGAAGATAGTACACTTTCATAGTGCCTCACTCTGGTTTTAAAAAATAAGTTGAGCAGAAACAAGTTCTCATGAAATTCCAGGTACCGTTATATTATGTGAAATGACTTCTTTTATGCTGCTAAAGAAGTTGGCTTGTTATGCTTTTCAGTGGGTGGGAAATGGGATAGTAATCTTCAAATAAAAGATAACATATGGCATAGTCATATTCATGAAACTAGAACTCCAATGGCAACCTGCGAATCTCCTCGTTTCCTTACACCTAGACTGTGTGGCTTCCTCCTGGCAAATTTAAGTTTTTATGTCCATTTTCTTTCTCAGTTTATTTTCAAACTGAATAATGACATATAATTATGGTATTAATATCCCTTTTCTATGATGTACTTGGTAAAATTATTTTCTTATTTTTGATATAATTTAACATACTGTGCTTCGTAGTTTATAAAGTATCTTCACTTAAACGTTATTTGTTTCATTTGATCCGAATAAGTATTTGTTCAGGTAAGCTGGAAAATAACGATAACTATTACAAAGCCTTTATTGGGCATTTAATAAGTGGCAGGCTCTGAATGGTATACTTTAGATGCATATCTCATCAATTCCCTGCAAGCCCAGGGAACTATAAGGTATTATGATCCTACTCATTTTGCAGGTGAAGATACCTGTTTCCAAGGATAAATTAACTTAGCTGAAGTCATATAGCTAATTAATAGTAGAGCTGGCTTCAGCCCAGTTTTGTTATTTTGTTGTTATTGTTTCTTAAGCCTTTGCTTTTAGACAGTTTGCTCTTTTTTTTTTTTTTTTTCTTGTAATCATTTTGTAAAGGAAGAAAGGGAGGTAATAGCTGTGCATAGCCCTTAGATCTGCTGGGCACTGTTTCCAATGCTCTCCATGTAGTTACTCGTTTATTCCTCTACAGAAACCCTTGGGCCAGGCTCTGTAATTATCCGTGTTCACAGAAGAGACAAGTAAAGTATCCGTGTTCACAGAAGAGACAAGTAAAGTGCAGGGATGTGAAGTGAGCTGTGCTCCCAAGTAGGGGATTTGAGTGCATGTAGTCCAGTATCAGAATGTGTGCTCTTAACCTTAATCCTATAATGGTTAAAAGAGTTTCAGTGACTTTCTTCAGGACTCATAGCTTGTAACTGATTGATCTGGTAGTAAAATTCATGCTGAGTCACCAGTCAGTCTTCTGTGATCTCATGCTGCTTTGGGTATATCTTCATCAGCACGGTGCTACGGTCTCTTCGAAGTTTTATTTGTCTCCCAGTCATGAGGGCTAGGATTCTTCTTTTCATTTTTGATCACCCAGAGTGCATAGTTTGGCATATTTTATATACAGTAAATACTGATCAAATCTGATTCCTTGTTTAGTGCTTTTTAATGTAGCAGCTTTTTCTCCTCCTTTACATTACATTGTGAAGCCACCTTCTTTCTCATGGTTTCATTTTTTTTCCTCACTTTGTTTATGGAGCAAACGTTTTTTACTTTGTTTTTTGCTTTCCTTCTATTTGGTCTTCTTTAAGGTGGTACATTTAAAAGTAGCCCCCCTGGGGCCGGCCCGGTGGCGCACTGCTACAGTGCGCCGCTTGGGAGCGCGGCTGCACTCCCGCCGAGGGTTCGGATCCCACATACAGACCGGCCGCTCACTGGCTGAGTGAGGTGCGGGAGCAACACCGAGGGTTGCGATCCCGTTGCCGGTCCTGGTCCGGTACGGGCGCGACACTGAGGGTTGCGATCCGTTGCCGGTCACGAAAAAAGACAAAAAGGAAAAAAAAAAAAGTAGCCCCCTTTAAAGAAACGAGACTCTAAGTGAGCTGCTGTTTCAATCTAGCTGTCTTCTTATCTTCTGATTATGTCATTCATCATCATCAAATATTATTAAGTGTCTTTTAGCACTTTGTGCTGTGCTAGGCGTTTTATAAGCAAATAAAACAGACGTAGTCTCTGATTTTGAGGAGTTTTTAATCTAAGCCAGCTTAGGGGTTCTTTAAAGACACTGACCTTCAAGATGGAAGAATTTATTTAATTATCTATTTACTTATTCTTAATTTTTTTTCTTAATTGACCCAGGATAATTGTATATATTTGTGAAGTACAATGTGATATTTGGGTACATTTATACAGTGTGTAGTGATCATATCAGGGTATTTAATATATCCATCACCTCAAACATTTGTCACCTCTTCATGTTAGGAACATTCAAAATCCTCTCAACTAGCTGCTTGAAGTTATACAGTAATTTGTTGTTGACTTAAGTCTCCCTATATTGCTATGGAACAATAGATCTTATTCTTCCTATCTCTATAATTTTGTATCCATTGACTACCTGTTCCCTGTATCCCCTTTCTCCCTTCCCTTACCAGTCTCTGGTAACCACTATTCTCCTCTCTACTTCCAAGAGAACAACTTTTTTAGCTTCCACATATGAGTGAGAACATGTGATATTTCTCTTTCTGTGCCTGGTTTATTTCATTTAATGTGATTTTCTCCAAGCTCATCCATGCTGCTGCAAATGGCAGAATTTCATTCTTTTTTATGGTGAGTAGTATTTCGTTGTCTATGTGTACCATATTTCCTTCATCCAGTCATTCATTGATGGACATTTAGGTTAGTTCCAAATCTTGGCTGTTATGAATAGAGCCATGATAAACATGGGAGTGCAGGTATCCCTTTCACATGTTGATTTCCTTTCATTTGGGTATATACCCAGTAGTGGGATTGCTGGATTGTATGTTAGTTCTAACTGTAGTTTTTTGAGAAATCTCCATACCGTATTCCATAATGGCTGTACTAATTTACATTCCCACCAACAATGTATAGGAGTTCCCTTTTCTCTGCATCATTTCCAGCACTTGTTATTTTCTGTCTTTTTGATAATAGCCATTCTAACTGGGGTGAGATGATATCTCACTGTGGTTTTGATTTGCATTTCTCTGATGATTAGTGATGTTGAACATTTTTTCATATACCTGTTGTTTCTTTATATGTCTTTTTTTGAGAAACATTTGCCTATTTTAAAATCAGATTGTTCTTTTACTGTTGAGTTGTTGGAGTTCTTTGTATATTCCAAGATGGAAGAATTTTAAGCTCGGGACTGCTTGAGGACAGTCTCAATAGTGTAGTGACCAATCGCAGTCTCACCTTGCATCTTACTTCTTCTCAGGAGGCTAACTGGCCTTTTTAAATTTTTTTTTCCTTTCCATTTTAAAAATATGTCTCCTGTCCCAGAATCATTGCACATATTATTTTCTCTGCTTGGATGGCTTTCTATACCCACCTGCTATCACCAAACTTTTGTTTAGTTAATACCTTTTTCTCTGTTAATATATAAATCAATATTTCTTTAGAGAAGCTCTAAGAAAACTCACCAATTAGATTAAATCTAATTTCATATAACACCCCCCCCCAATACTCACTCTCCTGTCCAAGTGATCTCATTAGCATATTATTCATTTTCTTAGTTCTTACCATTAGGCACTTATTACTAATAGGCTGATCACTTCTAAAATTAAGTTCCTCTCAACTATCCATCATCACTTCATTCAAGGGTCTGTTCTGTTTATCGAGTAATATTCTTTGTGACTATCATTCTCTCATTGATTGCTATATGTTGAGTATCATGTAAAAATGATGCAAATGAATTGCAAGATGAAATTGTAACTATTCCAAGAGTTGCAGGATTTCTTGACGGTAATAAAGTATGCCGGAAGGAGTGATTGACAAATGAAGGCCTTGCAGATTTAGGTCAGTAAACAGTTGAAAGGAAATGAGGCTGTCGGGATTGGCTTTTTTAAAATAAAAAATGATTTTAATATGAAAAAACGAGAAAACTGTTGGGAAAGTGACCTTTATGATTGTGATTACAGTCAAATATAAAGTAAAGGATGTTATATTGTATTAGGTGCACAGTTTTGTCAGAAAAATCACACATATAAACTCAGCAATGTCTTTTTTGTTTTTAGTTTAAGAATTAGTGATGTTTTTTACAAGTTGGACATTTGTTAAATTTAATATAAAATAAACTTAATTTCATAGCTTTTAGTTTCACCTTTGAAAATAAAGTTCCAAAGAAACAGGTCCCTATTTTAAGTGAACTTGCTTTAAGTTGATTTTTCCCATACTAATCATCCTTAGACAGCGAGGACCTCTCCTATTTGATTATCTACCATGCTGGACTGAAGCTCATTCCTGGCTCATGATGGGTGTCCAGTAAATGTTTGCTGAGTGAATGAGATAACAAAGAACACTTGGTGTGAAAACCTCCACTGAAAGCCAGTCTTAAACCTGAGGCCCAGCTACTTCTGATGAGTGTGCTTTGTTTGCTTTGTTTACAGAGTACCGGATTCTCTGGACACACTTTCAGAAATCTCTTCAAATAAACAGAATCGTTCTTATCCTGGTGAGATTACGGTTTTGTGTTCCTAGTAACTGTTCCTTTCCTTTCATTTATTGAAAAAAAATTATTGTGAGTATATATAGATATATATAAAAGAGTACATAAAATATTTTTGTATAGTTTATGTGATCAAAAGCAAACATCTCCTACCTGCCCCCAGCTGAAGAAAATGATCACTTGTGCTGTAGAAACTCCTGAGCAACCCACACCTCTGCCCTGTCTCGTCTGCCACCCTCTCAATAAACCCCATCCTCAGGACATGACTCTTGAATTTCATATTAAATATTCCCTTGATTTTCTTTGTATTTTTATCACCCATATAAACACGTACCATTAAATAATACATGTTTAGTTTTGATTATTGTTTGCTATTTCGTTATTTAACATTCCATTGAAATATATTATTCATTCTATAGTTGATGGTCATTTGGGTTCTATTCTGTTTTTTACTGTTGCAAACTTTGCTACTGTGCACATGTGCGGAGTTGCTGTAGGACTGCTGGCACAGGACATCCACATCCTCAACGTTCTTAGGTAGTTCCCAGCTGTTTGGGTTGTACCCGTCCATCAGCAGTGGGCCAGGGTCTCTGTTCCCCCTCACCTCACCCATACCAGCTTTGTTTGATTTAGAAGTGTCTGCCAATCTGATGGGTTTAAATGGTATCTCATTATGGTTTTAATTCGCATTTTCAGATTACAAATGAGTTTGAGCCCATTGTTGTGTTTATGGGCCATGTTCATTTCTACTTTGATGAAGTACCTATTCAGATTTCTTGCCTGTCTTTGTTTTATTAATTTACAGGCTTCCTTATGTATTTTGGGTACTAATATTTTAACAGTTTTATGTGTTGCAAATATTTGCTGTTTGTGACTTGTCTTTTTACCTTTTTTTTGGTGTGTGTGTGTGTCTTCTGTTGAGCAGAGGTCTTTAAGTTTTTGTTAAAATAGAAAATCATTTTATGGTTTGCATTTTTGTCTTAAGAAATCTTTTCCTAAAACAAATCAAAAAGATACTTTCCTATATTGCTTTCTAAAAATTTTATGTTTTTGTGTTTCACATATGTCAATTTACCTGGAATTGATTTTGTGACTGCTAAGGGTCTAATTTCATTTTTCTCGTCTGTGAAAGAGTAGTTTGTGTAATATGAAATTCTTAAATATTTGTTGAAGTTAACCTTGTGACCTATGGATTTTTGCCATTCTAATAGGTATGCATTAATTTGAAATTCCTTAATGTTGTTTTAATTGAAATTCCCTAAGATGTATGATGTTGTATTAGTGTGCTAGGGCTGTTGTAACAAAGTACCACAGACTGGGTAGTTAATTTATTAAAATTTTATTAAATTTCTGGGTAGAAATTTATTTTCTCACAATTCTGGAGGCAAGAAGCCCAAGATCCAGGAGTTGGCAGGTTTGGTGGCTCCTAAGGCCTCTCTCCTTGGCTTGTAGATGGTGTCTTCCTCTGTTGTTTACACACCATCTTTTCCACTGTGTGTCTGTGTCCCAGTCTCTTCTTATAAAGACACTAGTCAGATTAGATTAGAGCCCACCCTTGTGACCTCATTTTACTTCACCTCTTTAAAGCCCTATCTCCAAATATTTTCATATTCTGAGGTCCTGGGAGGATTGGATTTCAATATATGAATTTTGGAGAGACACAATTTAGCCTATAGCAGATGTTGAATATCTTTTCATGTGCTTATCTGTGTATCTTCTTTGTGAGGTGTCTCTGTTCAGCTGTTTTGCCCATTTTAAAATTGTGATTTTTTCTTAGTGTTGAGTTCTTTATACATTTTGGTGACCAGAACTGTGTCAGATAGGTGTTGTCATATTCTGAGGTCCTGGGAGGATTGGATTTCAATATATGAATTTTGGAGAGACACAATTTAGCCCTATAGCAGATGTTGAATATCTTTTCATGTGCTTATCTGTGTATCTTCTTTGTGAGGTGTCTCTGTTCAGCTGTTTTGCCCATTTTAAAATTGTGTTTTTTTCTTAGTGTTGAGTTCTTTATACATTTTGGTGACCAGAACTGTGTCAGATAGGTGTTTTGCAAATATTTTCTCTGTCTGAGGCATGAGTCTTTTTATTCTTTTAACAGTGTCTTTCACAGAGCAGAATTTTTTAATTTTAATGAAGTACAAGTTATCCATTTTTTTTTTTTCATGAATCCTGCTTTTGGTGTGTATCTAAAATGTCATTAACAAAACTAAGGTCACCCTGATTTTTCTCTTATGTGAGCTTCTAAGAGTCTTATGTCACCCTGATTTTTCTCTTATGTGAGCTTCTAAGAGTCTTATAGTTTTGTGTTTTACATTTAGGTCTATGACCAATTTTAAGTTAATTTTTGTGAAAGGTATAAGGTCTGTACCTGGATTTATTTATTTGCATGTGAATGTCTAATTGCTCCAGTACCACTTGTTGGAAAGACTACCTTTTCTCCATTGTATTGCCTTTGCTCCTTTGTTGAAGTGCAGTTGACTATATTTGTGTGGGTCTGTTTCTGGACTCTGTTCTGTTCCATTGATCTATTTGTCTGTTCTTTTGCCAATACCACACTGATACCAATGTCAGTCCTCTGACTTTGATCTTCTCCTTTTATCGTGTTGATTATTCTGGGCCTTTGCCTTTCCATACACACTTAATCAGCTTGTTGATATCTACAAAATAACTTCCTGGGATTTTGATTGGGATTCCATTGAACGTATAGCTCAAGTTGAGAAGAATGACATCTTGATATTGAGTCTATCTATGAATATGGATTCTCTCTCCATTTATTTTTATCTTCTTTGATTTCTTTCATCAGAGTTTTGTAGTTTTCTTCATATAGACTTTGTACATGTTTTGTTAGATTTATAGCTATGTATTTATTTTTTTGCTGTTAGCATACATGGTATGCTTTTATAATAATTCTTTTTACCTTATACCAGCTTTCCTTTGGTTAAGTATTTGCCTTATACATCTTTTTCTATCCATTTACTTGTAACCTTTCTGTGTCTGTGCTTTTAGAATATTTTCTAAATAGAATATAGTTGGGTTTTACTTTTTCTAAAATATTGTCTGACAATCTTTGTTTTTTAACCTGAGGGTTTCACCTATTTGCATTTATTGTATTACTATATATTACTGATATTATTTATATTTTATTCATTTTGTATTTATTCAATTTTTTGTACTTAATAAATGTTTTTTCTTTTTCGACTTCTTTATGGTTATGTTTCTATTTCCCCTTTTTGTTCTATTCCATTTGCTCCTTCTACTTGTGTAAAAATTATGTTCTATGAGTATGCTGCTTAGTAATTACTATGGATAATTTAACATACATGCTTATCAGAGTTTAAAGTTAATCATTTTTACCCTTTCCTAAATAATAGAAAATCCTTAGAAGTTGAGTTGTCCAGTTTCTACTTTATTTCCCCTATAAGTTTGGCATTATTATAATAGTTTTATATAATAACATATTTAATTTACTCACATATTTACTAATATTTTTACTTATTAATCCTCAGAACTTCTACTTGAGATAATTGTACATTCTTTAAAATTTCCTTTAGAAAGGATCTGTTGGTAGTAAACTCATTTTTGTCTTTCTTAATGATTGTTTTACTGGGTGCAGAATTTTAGGTTAAAAGATATTTTCTCCCTGCACGTTGACAATACCATTCTACTGATTTCTGGCTTCTGCCATTGTTTATGAGAAGTCAGCTATGAGTCTAACTAATCCATATTGCTGTAGGTGATTTATCTTTTTTTCTGGCTACATTTAAAGATCTCTTTCCTTTGTGTTGTACAGTTTCACTATGATGTGTCTAGGTGGGATTTCTTTTTGTTTGTTCTGCTTGGCATCATAGATTTCCTGGATCTGGGAACTGCTATCTTTGATCAGTTCTGTAAAATTCTTATCTATTATACTTCAAATATTCTCTTTGTTATCTCCTCCTGAAACTCTGATTAGCAGTATGTTGGACTTTCTCTCTTTCTCATGCCTCTTTCATATTTGGTACAGCTCATCACTCTGGACCGCATTCTGGTTATCTTCAGATCTTTCTGTTTTCTGATTCTCTCTTCAGCTATGTTTTTTCTGCTGCTTAATCCAGCCATAAAGTTTTCAATTATGAAAATTTCCTTTTTCTTTTTGCAAATCTGCTTGTTACTTACCATTGCATATTCTTTCTCTGTACTTTTAACTTTCTTTTGTCATTGAACATTTTAAATGTTCTTGTTTTTTTGCTTTGTGTTAAATAATTCAATATCTAAAGTGTTTGTGAGTCCAATTCTGCCATCTGTTTCTGTTGAGCCTAACTTTTGATACCTTCGTTCCATCCTTCTGCGTTTTGTAGTTTATTATTATGAGGTGCTTATTTTACTCAGAATTTTTTATATATGAATTCTTTGAGGCCTGGGTTGATTCCTCCAGAGAAGATTATATTTACTTCAGCCACTTGCCTGGGGTCACTGCCAGCCTGAGACTACTTCAATTTAGGTTCTCTGTGATGTTTTTTATATTAAACAGGTAACACGAATTTGACTCATGCCACAAATTCTTAGGGGAGAAAATTTTTCCTTGTACTGAGCATTAAAGTTGGCACAAACTACCTTCCTTTGTCGTCATCTGAACAGTGTTTCATTTTGTTTTCCATTTAACTTCATGCTGAGACTGGGATCTTCACTTTAAACAGGAGTCTTTTGTGAGAATCTCATTTGGCAGGCCCTAGGCTTGATTTCCTTTCCTGTCTCCTGGGTACCCAGTAAGATGGAAGCCCAAGGTCTCTAGAATTCAGTGGAAACTCTTGTGATACAAGATGGTAGGTTATTTTGGTGCTTGGTAACCTCTCATGGTTTCTCTTTTTAATTTTCAGCTTCTTTGAAATTGTGCCTTTTGTGTCAGCTCAGTAGTATTTAAAAAAATTATAGTTGTTTTAAATTAGAATTGCTTCAATCAAGAGATTTCATTCAGCACATCTGGTGTACCATGACTGCCAGACCGGAAATTCTGTTCCTTTTTAAAAGCATCTTTTTAAAAATTTACCTTTTGTAGGAAGTCTTTTTTTTAAAAACTCCATTATTTGGAGATGTCAAGAATCTTAAGCTCTGAAGTTTATTGTTCAGTATTTTATAAATGGGATATCTTTAATGGTAGTGTTTTAAAAACCATTTTCTTTTTTATTTGATTATCAAGATTATAATATTTGATAGTAAAAGAGTCAGCTTTATCAATGTGTAATTCAATTTTATTTGATTTTCCAGAAATCTATAGTAAAAACCTCCAAAAGCAAAGTCATGAACTTAACTTATTCATGTATGTGCATAGTTTGATCAGGAAAGTAAAGATAAAAATTTGTCAAGAAATCTAAAGTACAATTATATTCTGTATATATACTTTACTTTCTTTGCTTTCTATTTCCCAAGAAACATTTGACATAATAGAATATCTATAGAAGAAATGATAAAAGATACATTTTAATAGGGACTGAAAATTTGTGGTTTATTTTTTCTCTTCTAACCTTAACTTTTATATTTAGGTTTTAGGAGAAGTTTTAGCACAACGTCTGCTTCTTCCCAAAAAGAGATTAACAGAAGAAATGCTTTTGCCAAGTGAGTATTAAGAAGATTTAGAAAAACACCTTTCAAGATGAACATGATGAGATTCTGTGAAGGAAGAAAGTAGAATTTTGTATCTTCTAGATTGCTTGGTAGAATTTTGACACTTAGGAGAAAAGTGTTGTGAGTGTACTGAGAAGAGCTCTTCCTCCTTTGCAAGCTCAGTTACAAATGTCAGTAGTGACTAAAGATAGTACACTGCCTGTATTTCCTCTTTGACGAGGTTAGAACTCTTAATAAAAGTTGGAGTAATTTACATTGTGTGTTATCATTGAGTAAAGTGGATTGATTTTAAACTTTACTTAATAAATCAGATTTGATTTAGTTTTCTCAGCAATAGGTGAGAGAAATGTAAGGCCTATTTGCATAAAGTAGTCTTACAATTATTTTAAAAATACTCCTACTTCCCCTTGTAGAATATATTGTTCAAAAAGCTTTTTTTGTTTCTTTGTAGAGAGAATGACCTTTTCTCTTTTTCATTTGTCTTTTTTATGACTCCCGGACCCACTTCACTACCCTCAATTGTTTTTTGAAACTTTTTGAAACTTTTTTTGCTTTTAGAGGAATATGAAACTCTTCTAGACTGATTAGGTTAAGAGGCTCTTTTTTTTTTAAATGCTGCCAATTAATCTGTGAATAATACTCTGGGCAGAAAGGCTAGCTGAGTGGGGAGGCGTGCATACCTGCTGAAGTAGTGGGGCCCTGCAAGCCACTCGGGATTAGAGCCCACCGGCTGGAGCTTGGTGTTCAGCTGAGCCACGGGCAGGTAATTTATGTGCTAGTCTGGCTAAAGGTATTGGGAGGCTTCACAAGGATCTGAAATTTCACTTGAGAACCCTGGCTTATCCTAAAGGACTGTTGGGTGCTGTTTAGAGGGTTGGGTGGTTTTGATTTTCTTCCTTAATACCATCAGCAATTTTGAGAATTTTGAAATTGGTCTCCTTGTTTGAGTAGCTGAAAGAGTTTAAGAGCAGCAACTTTATGCTCCAGTTCATTGAAGATATTCAAGGGTTCTTAGGGAGAATGGAAGAAATTGCTAAGAAGAAACATCTGGGGTATAAAGGATCCTAAAGGGGGAGAGATGTCAAAATCAGGGTCATGATGTTGGGGAGTGGGAGAACATGTTACAGAGAAACAAGGGAAGGAGAAAAAAAATCTGAACCCTGGGATTAATACAGCATATGGTTATGCAAAAGATGATCTGTTGATGCGAGGAGGAAGTATCAGGACTTATCCATTTTCTATAAAAATAAAAAGAAATTAAGATATACTTATTTATACAGATCGACACTAGTAACCTGTTTTAAAAAAGAAATAATATATGTTTATTGAGGATATATAAAAAATTTTTAGAATTATTTATTTATTTATTTTTACTTATAGGTATATGACCAAAATGTTTGGCAATCTCTGTTCTCAGGAATGAAAGAAAGACTTTTAGGTGCTAGCAGGTAGTAGGAATCCTGTCCCTGATCCTAGGCTTAGGAGAGACAGTGCAGTGATTGGACGACCACCTGCTGAGGGGACAGAGTTGATTGTGTGTTGTGCTTCTGTTAATCTGGAAGCATGATGTACTCGTATTCTGAAGAACATGTGTTGAGAAAGTGAGTTTATTGAGATTTACTGAACAGTGCACCACTTTCTTGCTTATTTATATGGAAATAAATGATACCTCCAGAAGAAACATGGAAAACATGGTCAGAGATGATGAAAATTCCTAACTAAGAAACTTGAAGGACTTGGGACAAAGGACATGTTTGTCCCATGTCAGTAAAGGAGAACAGGGAAAGGGGAAGTAACAGCCTACCATGTCATTTTTGTGAAAGAACAGGATTTGGGTCTCTAGATCATGCATTGAAATGGTAGTGGTGCATGCATTTCATTCAGAGGAAAAAATGAGGGAAAGAGGGTTGGAGTCAGTAAAGGAGAACAGGGAAAGGGGAAGTAACAGCCTACCATGTCATTTTTGTGAAAGAACAGGATTTGGGTCTCTAGATCATGTATTGAAATGGTAGTGGTGCATGCATTTCATTCAGAGGAAAAAATGAGGGAAAGAGGGTTGGAAGCAATTCTGTCTTCAGAATTCAGTGTATGCGGCTAATGCCAAGAATGGAGGTAGAAAAGAAAATGGTTTGAGATTTTAACACGGTCGTCACAGAGAGCTGATAGGCACAAGGCATCCACCCTCTCTCACACTGTCTACATCCAGCCTGTGATCTGTAGCTCATGCCCATCGTTAGCTCCCTCTGCGTTGCCACGGGTGTCTGCTTATAAGTCTTCATTGGGTCCCATCTATGGAATCCAGACCATTACCATGATTGGGCTTGCATTTGAAAGTCTTTAGGTAGAACTCCTGCAATCCGGTTTGCCACAGGTTCCATCATTTCCCATCATATGCTTGCATTTTCTGCCTGTCCCTTAAAGCTTCTGAATTCTCAGACATGGGGAGTCCAGCTGCATGGACGCAGCAGGCAAAGGTCTGTTCCATGGGCTCCTATGTGGCTCTCCTGACTTCACATTTCATGGCAATATCCACACATGTGACTGCAGATCTCTGAGCTCTCTGTGCTTTTCAAAAAAATAAAAAGAAATACATAAACTTTGCTTCCACGATCTCTGCTGTCCCTTTTCTATCTGCTTATCTTTCAAGTTGGCTCAAGTGTCACTTTCTCACTGAAGTGTCTTCCCTGAGACCTTAAGAGGTTTCTTCCTCTTTTGTGCTCATTCGGCACCTTACACTGTCTTTATTGTAGTGTCTATAACATTTTACTGATTATTACATACAAATTCCTAGAACCTAGCCCTGTGCCTGTCATTTTGTAGGTGACAAATAAATGTTTTTAAATGAGTAATCACAGCTCTCAAATATACTATAATCCCAAGTTTCTCTATTCTCTGAGCTTTTGAGCTTTGACATGACTTGAATAAAATCATTATTATTAGAATTTTGAGTGTTTACCCAAGCCATTAATTTATGATTTAGATATTGAATTCATTTATTACTTTTTTATTTCTTAAAAATTTTTTTTGATTATGAAAGTTGATTGTACATTTGAAAAATTAAGAGAAACTAAATGCAGATAAAGATCATTTGTAATTTTGTCACCTCAGTGAGATTATTACCGTTAGCATTTTGGTATATACTTTTCCAGTTTTTTCCTAATGCATGTGTCTGAATTTTTAAGCAAAGTTAGATGAATCACACTCTATATACCCTTTTGAAAACTTTTCCCCTTAATATATACTGTACATACTTCCACATTCTTTAATAGCTGTCCTTAGTGTGACTTTTGCAATGTTTTTAAAGACTCTACTGTGATAGGGAAACATTTTTATAGTATAATAATAAATGAAAAAAGTCATAATTTAATAATAGATGCCAAACTTCCAAAGCATGTATCTAGCTCTTCCCCCCCTTTACTTCTTCTCCCCTCTTTCCCCCATCTCTGTGTGTGAGCGTGTGTGTGTGTGTGTGTGTGTGTGTGTGTGTGAAATCAAATAAATATCCAGCTTTATTTTCTTCTAGTTTTTTTTCCCCCAATTTATGCATTAGCTCTTTAATCTATTTGGAATTTATTTTCATATACATGAGTGGTAAGAATCATATTCTTTTCTCCCAAACAATTAACTAATTTTTACAGCATCCCTAATTCAATGTTCACTCCTTTCTAACTGCTTTGAAGTTTTACTTTTTATCACATATACAATAATTATGTGTATTTTTAAAAAATATCTCTTCTGTGTTATTCTAAAGTACACTCCCGTGCCAGAGGCACAGTGTTTTTAACTATTGTAATTTTATAATTTAACATAATGGCAATGTAAATCTTGCCTTATTCTTTTTCCAATTTTGTTAATTACAATACCCATTATGGTGTGAGTGAGAGGCTGGCTTTGGGCTTAAACAGCCTCAGATCTGAGCCCTATCTCTGCTCTTTACCATTTCTCTGACTTTAGGCAAATAACTTAATTTTTCTGAGCCTCAGTTTCTTCTTTTGTTACAGAGAGGTAATAATATCACTTTCTGTGGTTTGGGTGAGGATGAATGAGATAATGTATTTGAAGTGTCAGCACACAGTAAATGCTCGGAAAATGATAGCTATTGTTATTATGTGAAAATTACAGTAATTTTTTCAGGTAAAAAATATTTGGGGTGAATTTGGGGAGAAATAGCATATTTTCTTTTTCTTTTGTATGTTGTTTTTCAGGTTGTAAAAAATATTTGGGGTGAATTTGGGGAGAAATAGCATATTTTCTTTTTCTTTTGTATGTTATTCAGTAAAGATTTATGCCTTTTCTTACAGGCATTGCATATTTCTTTGTTAAATTTATTATTTGTGCATTTGACATAGTAAATAATAATTATAAAAATATTTTCTAATTAGAATTCTATCACTTACTGGCAAATGTGGCTTAAGATAAATCTCTGAGCCTCAGTTTTCCTATCCATAAAAGTAGAGTCCTCTTCTGTTCTTTCAGGGTGGTTAATAGGAACAAATGAGACGTTGTGTGGAATAGTGTATTAAAAAATATAGAAAGTGAAATAAACTAAAAGCAGACTCAGTTTCTGTTCATGGTGAGTGAACGTTTGGTAACAGGTTCTGTTTCGTATCTGTTGTGGGGATGGGGAGAAGGGTTTCTCTTGGAGGAGAGGAGGCATGGGATGGAGGATGGAAGGCTCTAAACAGCATTGGTGGTTTCTGGATCACCATTTGGAAGTTCTCAGGTCAGAGGACAACAGGTAATGCTTCTACCGTGGGTGAGTATCAGGGTCAGCTGCTCCCAGTTGACAGTGGAAGGAGCTCTGGGGCAGTATTGGATGAGTTCATTGGTGAGTCCCAGGAAGTTTTGTTATTAGGTCAGGGTGGTGGTGGGTGCTAGGAGGCACATATACTAGCGTATAAGTAATATACTTAAGTAGGGAAAAGTTGTAGGGAAAAGGAAAATAATCTTGCTACAGGAAACACAGACTCTTTACTGTTAGTGGCAGGGAAGGTG